TCTTTTTCTTTCTCAATGCATTGCCTAAAGATCGGATTGGGAAAAATCGGTATCGGCAAATTGTCAAAATCAAATGATCGGGATCGGATCGGGAGCAAAAAAAGGTGATTGGGACATCCCTAATCTAAACCAATGGTATTGAACTGGGTCTATAGCAGAGACATGATTAGGGTTCTGCTGTGGTCCATCATTCAGAGATAGCACAGAATGTTTGCAGGCTGCTCTGGGACTCGCTGGTTACCGAGGGCTTCAAGGTATTTAGAGGTCTGACCATGTTGGAGTCTCACTAAGGCTGGTTCTGTATAATGAAAGGTCTTTGCTAATCCGTCTATAATTCTTCCACAAATCACCAGTACAGCTGTAGTCTATTTTTTTTCTTTCTGTCCCTTAAAATCCATGTAGTCCCGATATCCAAATCCATTCGTTTTAGACAATTGCACCTGTTTGATAGTGGTGTTACAAGCTGCATTAATACTTTCTAGTTGCCAATTACTGAGATTGTGAACAACCAATCAGAGTTTAGATCGACAGAAGAGCTAGTATAGTTAGCTATAACACCCCAAGTGAGGTTCCATTGAGAAATATCATGATCTACTACTCATTTAAAATAAGTATAAACAAAGGTAAATTACAATGTTATCATGATGTGTTCATATGTAAACTTGAAAAATCTTGCTTTATTGCAGAGAAACTTGAATAAATACTGTATTAGTAAAGGTATGGTATGATGAAATGATAACCAGTTTAACTTCATAACATAAGTTTTAAGCAGCTTGTATTATTGATACTAAGAATGGCAAAATAAAACTACTATAACATTCCCTCATCATTCAAATTGTATTGTTATGCAAATTACCACACATCTTTCTGGGAACCAGGTTCAGAATATTGGTCTATGTATTTCTTGGAATCAAATTGCAGAATAAAATATTCAAATCTGTCACACCTGGAGCCTTGGCCTCTCTCTAAAGATGCAGGTTGATTTCTAGGGAATAAAACAAGATCAATCTACTGCGTCGGTACACTAGAGCGTTGTTGATGTTATTCTTGCGCTAGTTGGAAGTGCTCACATCCCAATTTTCAAATAACTCACAGATGTTGCATCATGAGGCACAAACAAAATGAAAAAAATATTAATTGTGCTTAGGGTTCAGGTTTGAGGGGATTCCACTTTCTCTCTTTCTGTTCATTAACTTTTGATGTTTATATTCCCTTTTGAAAACATAGCCAGTAGCGGAAATTTCTATTTGTATTTATTTATAAAATTACCATGCATACAAAAACATTAATCTCAGCAAAGAGAAGATATGCAACATGCCAGATTATAGCTAATAGCTAATTTCCATCTGTGGTCCTCAGGCAGGTTCATAACAATCAATAATCAAATAACAACATTGCATGATCTCTATCAGTCAAACAATTTTAAAACCTGATTTAAGTACAGCTCAATAAATTAATACATAGTACACATGAAATACACTTACATGATCTCGGTCACTCAAATAATTATAAAGCCTGATTCAAATACAGGTTACGAACATTATACTTAGTACACTTCAAATACACTTAAATAAAATATCTAAGATATAGTATGAAAGTAAGAGAGCAATGAAATGTGCCACAGACTACTGGATATGAACCAGGATGCTTTTTAATCACGTTTTTAGATCAAGACTGTACAAAGACAGTCATGTCCGGAAGGAATTAGCATTGCAATGCCACACTGGTCATTTCAATTAAGAATGTCGCATTATACAATGGTGATATTATGGAATGGTCCTGATTTTATTTATTGTTGTACTCCTTCTATTACCCCTTATGGAACATTATAATTTCTGCCAGATACCAGAATGCTTCTTAGTATGTATAAAACATGAACTACATACAGAAAATCCTGCATGGGAGTTTTCTGCAAAAGAGTAAGGGGTATACAGTGAGCCTGTCAACTGCTCCTTTGTAAGACAAGTGCTCTATTGATTGAGAAGGAGATTGAAATTGATTGAGAAGGAGAGTGAAATTACTGAATCACTCCATGTAAAATCTTCCTCCTCTCCTATTTCAATGGTAATGTGTTCTGCACAGGGCAAGCGTATTCAGTGAGTCATTTTAGAAATGTCTCCTGCACGATGACAAGAGGTTTCACTCTTAACTGGTGATGAGCAATCAAAAAGTAAACAAACAAGACTGGTATACATTTATTTTTTTACAAGTAAATATGGAATTGAGTGGAGAAATGTATTGCCTTTTTGAAGACGTGGGCCGGTGGTGAGCTTCCAAATGGGAACAGAAAGCTGCCAAACTGCAGCCTTACTCAAAGCACAGCTCAAACTTTGTACTACTCTCTGAGTTACTTTACCAAAACCACACAAAATGGAACAAAACTTAGTAACACATTGTTACATTGAGGCTTTACAGTAGATATAGATATAACAACATACAAACGTAATCAAGCAAATACTGCACTGTTAAAGTTGTTTCAGATCCTAGAAAGCATTTGTGCAATGCATTAGATCTCCTAATGGATATATGCTTGAAATGGAAGTAAGACTCTTTATTCATTACGTTGGCTGAATGGCCTCTGCTGGGCTTGGTCGCCTCCTCTATAGCTGGATAAGTGTGATGTATGTACTGGCTAATTGCCTTTGTCCTCATCGCTTCGATGACCAGGCCATTAAGCGTCTGGAAAAGGTCATTTCCTGTCTTATTACTGCGGTATCCATCAGGGAGACTCGGCCACAGCAGAAAGGAATCCTGTAGATGATATTATCGCAATATTATTTTTTGGTTTATTTGTCAAATTGTTAAAGCTGGTCCCCTGAGAGATAGCATGGAATGTGGAAACAGCTGGGAATGTATTGCTGATTTCCAAAAAGGCCAGCAGATGGCTTACTGAGCATTCAAGGCTTCAACTGTGCCACACAGTTCCTGCACTAGGTCAGGGGAGGAGAGAATTCAAAGATTAGCCAATTTACAGTCTATGCCAAACTTCAGTAAAGTTTGGGAAAGACAAGAGAAGGGACTCCGCGTTTTCTATAGCTGCTTTAAAAAACAGAAATCAGATCAACATACAGTATGAGGTAAATGCAGAGTCCATACATTATTAGTTAAGTTACCTTAGTTTTGACCCACTTCTAAATAATTGAAAGGACAAGAGATCCAAATAGATTTCTCCTTTTGGCATTTACATTGAAGTGGCAGATTTTTTTCCTCAAAGCTGAGACTCTTATGTATCCATTAGGGGTAGACATAAAACACATTCAACATTTGACATTTGAAAAAAAACCAACAGGATGAAGGGATACAGTACATGGATTTTTGGCCTCTATACAAAGACACTGATGTAACAATATGTGTTCTATTCTAGTGTTTCTTGGCCAAGGATATGAGCAGCACGACGACAGATTTGACAAAGTAAAGCTGTGATCGAACATCAGTGAGTAGGTTGGAAGACTTATTAAAAAAACCTGCAGGACAGGAATGTACTGACAGTATTGGAACTTGGTTACTCGGACTAAGGTTATTAATAGGGTGTGTGCGGTTACTTTCTCTTTAAAAGTTAGGAGGACTGCAACAAACATTTAGTTTTTCTTCTTTTTTCGATTCATTTATCATTTTGTCTTGTCAAAGAAATGGCACAACGTGACCATAGACATTTCAGGGAGCCCGAGGGGACATTTTCAAATTGCTTTTTTGTCTTGTATAAATACTGATTTGTATTCAATACAACATACCTACAAATGTAAGAAATACATCATTCACTTCCCTACCTTTTTTGTGTTTGTGTTTTGCTTCCACACTTAACCGTATCGGCTTACAGTGTTTCCCACAGATCTGAAATATACTTGCTCATGAACTGTTCAGTGTTTCCCACAGATCTGAAATATACTTGCTCATGAACTGTTCAGTGTTTCCCACAGATCTGAAATATACTTGCTCATGAACTGTTCGCCGGAGCCTCGCAGCGGAGTTACTGCGGAGCGCGATAGCAGAGCGAACAGGTACAGGAGGGGTAGTTAATCGATCGTAGAATGCGTCGTGCTCGCGGACGGATAAAAAAAGATTAAACCTAAATGGTTCACGAAATATACTTTGGCGGACGTTAATATACCTGGACGGCCCAAGTAAAGTCTGTGGGAAACCCTGGCTTGTTTTTTCAATTTAGACTCTTCGTCTTAATTTCTTTGTTCCTTATCTGTAATGTGAAAACATTCGATTTCCTTGAGGTCAAAGTGTTCGCCCAGCTCACAGTTAGGTCAAATTTCCTAAGGCAACCCCGAGTGCCAGTCCTGCGGAAAGTGTTGTCATCCGATCACTCATACTCCGGTTCAAAAAGTTTAGCAGACTTCATTGAGAGTCAGCACCGGAGCTGAGAGCCAAGAGACAAGAGTGGTGCTGCTCTGCCTCAAGCTGCCCTCTGTTTCCATTTCCCTTCTCTACTTCCTCCACAATTAGTTTAATGGAGAGGTCACTTTGAGACAAGATCTGTTTTGCAAAGCGTATTCCCTGCCATGCTGTTGCTCCCACATTGCTCTGTGTATGATGATTCAGCAACAAGGGTGCAATGACTCATGCTCTCCTCGAGGGACGGCTCAAATTGTCAACTGCTAGGAGACAGCCTTGGTTATATTGAAAAGTTATTTTTATATATTTTGGAATGGATGCTGTCTCACACTTGGTATTATTCTGCCCAATGTAGCTGGCATCTTTCACCTCATCCACTATTGCTGTTCGCCTAACGAAAAAAAATATCCTCGATTTCTGAAAATAAATTGTCAAACCACAAGCTCAAAAAGTTACTTTTGCAATAACTTATTTTGCTGATTGGAGTATTTAGAAACATTGTTGGCATTATTACTGCTGCAGATCTGCCATACTCTTATTTTGAAACATTTTGATGTGAATGGTGTATATCTTGCCTGAAAACATTAGTATCCGCTGTTGCCATGTGACTTGTCATTCAGAACTTGATGCATTACTATTTGTGCTACATTGGGATACTTTGCTTGTGAAGCTTGCACCGGGGGTTACATTAAAGAGATGATTCACTTTACCCTTTGTCACTATGTTTCTCTCTTTAAATGGGTCAGAGCTTAGCTTTCTAGCATGCACTGGTGCAAACCCAAGGTATTTGAATAAATCAAATAAATCACTTTGTTCCTAAGTGGGTGTTTACTTGACAAAGCGCAACCTGTTGTGACCCCAACCGCTCCCAGCGTCCCCGAAGTAAAACTAAGAGGTGGTTCTCTGCTCTTATTTCCCTCTTTGGCTATTTGTTTTATTTATGCCTTACATTTCAGCATGGTAGCTTTAAGAATGGATTCTTCCTGACTTTTTCTCTTGGTCATTACCGAATGAAGTTTCTCTTGCTTCACTGACTAATTCCTTCTGGCACGCTAAAAGTCCTCTTTGACACAAACACATTCCCTCCCATTTACCAGTGACAAAACAACAAGGGACCTAAGACAATTTGAGCTGACATTTTCTGCCACAGGGTCCATTAGCGCTCGTGTGACAAGAAATTGTGATTATTTTTGTTTCACTCTCACTGATCAAAAACGTAGGATGTACTAAGACTTTTGTTTCTTGATTTCTCTGTTGATTTTGAATCCATAACCATGGTGCCAAGTGTGGTGGTATTAACATTATTCATTACTTGTATTCTCAATATACACTGAACAAAAATATAAATGCAACACTTTTGTTTTTGCTCCCATTTTTCATGAGATGAACTCAAAGATCTAAAAATCTCATGAAAAATGGGAGCAAAAACAAAAGTGTTGCATTTATATTTTTGTTCAGTGTATATTGAGAATACAAGTAATGAATNTATATATATATATACATTATATATTTCTATTAATCAATTTCGGCCTTTCGGCATTCGGTTTTCGGCCAACTGTTTCCTATTTTCGGTATCGGTTTCGGCCAAGAATTTCCCATTCGGTGCACCCCTAGTAAAAGCAAGTTTTAAAGCAGCTAGTTGAGTCTGGTAAGTTTACAAAAGGATTGCATTTTTGTTCATTGAACTAAATGAATCCAACAAGATCCCAGAAAGTTATTAGAAACAAAAAAATGTATAAAAAGTACTGCCTTGTATCACTAGATAAAATATACTTTGGGGGAAATGTATGAAATATTCAAAAATAGTAGCAACATGATAACATTTTTAAAGAGTGGCAAGAAAAAGAGGGATGGCAGTAGGTGATGCTTTTCCTGTCACTTCAATAGCTGTGTGTCTGTATAAGAGCCATTTCTTTCATCATCAATTGCATCATTGGTCGTGAAACTAAATGGAGACAAATAACAGTATGGCCTGGTTTTAAGATTTTAGCAAATCTCCACAGAGTGATGGAGCATTGAATGAATCATGGTCGAGTGCTTTCTCTGGTAAAGCTTTCAGAATGGAGGTCATTGCAGTTATTTCAATGGATCATCTTCTCTGTAATGGCAGAATGGTTGACTGGAGACATGAGAGATACCTGCAGTGGCAGCAACATGGAGCAGAACCTCTGATGCCTAGTAAACCCTTCTTTCTACGGAGCTGATAGAATAACAACAGAACAGCAAAGAGCTTTTTTTCTGTTGGGTGTGATAGTACACATTTCTGCAGTACATTCACAGCAAGGGTTGACTGCTGCACTCCCAATACCAAGGCTTTGAGTGGGAGCAAGGGCACACCTTGACTATCTTTGTATTCAGTGTGCCTCAAGGCTCAACATGTGTGTTCACGCATCATTGCTCACACGTAGACTGAGACATCTTGTATTTTAATCTGATTTTATCATATGCCTGCAAAATCATTTTCATTTTGCAAATACTTGTACGGATCACACACCTTTGCTTTCTTTGCCACAAAAATAGGAAGGAAATGGAGTAATTGTGTTTAAAAAAAGTCAACAAAAGTAATTTATGAATTTCATGTGGTCCATTGTCAGTTGTCTCTGTTCTTAACTTATTATAGATTTTTTTTGTATCTTTTTATATTATGACTAATCCTTGGATTGGTGTTGTTTTGTTTTAATATTTAACACCACAGTCTTAGCCAGGTCTCGGGTGAAGGAGAAGATTCCAAATTCAATAGGACTTACCTGGTTAAATAACTAGAAAAGGTACCACAAATATATTTGGCAAAAGAAGAGAGGAGAATATATATGCCTGAAAGCAAAACAAGACCCAGTGCAATAAGGTAGAGTGAAAGACAGACGGTGTGAAGTTGAAACACACTTCAGCTTCCCTCCCAGTGGCTTTGACAAATGGCTCACATTGTTCTGTCCAATGCCATTACAACAAACTTTGGAATTAAACAACTCTAATTATGTGGTGTGCTGACTTTAGATTAAAACCATTCGTATACAATACAAACACAGCAGGGGGAAGTCAGGCCGAGCAGTGTATCGCTAAAAAGGTTGTTAACAAAGCCACCGCTGTTGATAACAACATCATCATGCGGCCTCAACAATAAATAAGAACTGACACATCAAAAAGCAGAGACTTGCTCCCACTATACAGTCTGTCAAACTGTAGTCAGGCCAAACACCATCTGCATTTCTCATTGGATCAGTATCATTGGCATGTATATAAAAAAAACTGCAGTGATAAATAAAAAATCATTCAATATACGTCATCGACATGCTCCACTTGGGTCCTTGTAGTTCTTTTTAGCGATGCCAGTCTAGATTTCCCATAGCTACAGTGTCACTATTGACTTCTTCATTATTCTACTTTATGTCCAAACACATCACTGTAGGCTGAGATAATTAGGTCTTCCATTTCCAAGAGAGAATGAATGTCCTGTTTCCAAAAGTGTATATCACCGGTGGTTTCCCATGTGTAGAACCAGTGTACACAGTGGTGCTGTAAAGGTGATTTCATTAAGTTTACATACTGTCATCTCGCTAATCCACCTACTCATAAGGACGATATCCACTGGCAAACAAATACTAGAAGAGTAGGAGGAAGATACTGATTAAAGATCGAGTGCATCATAAGTTAATGTTAGAGAAGGGGCCGGTTTAGCATATAATTAGTCTTTGAGAGCAGAGTATGTTTGCTCTTCCTACACACCGTAGAGACGCCGTGAGAAACTTGCAGAATCTTAGTAGAGACTTTCTCCTGATCCATCAAGTATTTCAAACCTTCCCACAAAAGCTACCTGTATGATGAAAGTCTGCGTTTGTCTTGGCTGCTGTTGCCAGAGAGAAGTGAGATTGGTACCCTTTAAACAAAAATGTAGGTACTAAAAAAGTCTGGTCACGATCAGCGAAGTAAAGGCTGAAAGAGATGGGGACTGGGAAACAGAAAATAAATCAGCAACTAGATTGGAAATCATGATCAACATGTCTGTATTTGAAGAAATTAAATAGGGTTCTTGAAAATTGCAGATGCCATTTTTCACTATTTTTCTGACATTAGATGAGAACAATCAGCAGAGTTTTAATAAGAATAATGAATCAATAGTCTTAGCTATTATATCTATTTAAAGTTTATAGCATGTCTTGCTTTTATCTTGTTAATTATATAGTATTTCCACTATCACTCCTTTGTTTATGCTTGTTTTTCTTTAGTTGTTTTTAAGAACACTGCATTTCCCTTGACAAGAAATGTGGTGTATAAATAAAGTGGTGCTTGCTTGCTTATATACGGTATGTGTTTCTTTAGAATGAGTCAGAAACATAGGGTCAGCTACAGTGCAGATCTCCTATGACATTTTTATTGAGCCTTGGCAACAACATAATAAAAATAGTCGAGTTTGTACTACCTGTCACAATGTGAGCCCACACTCTGTATCCTAGTATGTCTTTGTGATAGCCTGCTCAGAGTCACTGACATTAACAGACTGTCTCTTGGTTGGGTATAAGCTGGTACAATCATGCATTATGTATGGCCGGGTGGCGCTCTATGAGTACAGCTTAACAGGCCTCCCGATGCCAAATGAGCTGCAAGGATGACAGAGTGGAAAAACATCACTGGGGTTTTCCTGTCAAAGACTTCTGGTAATAACTAGATACCCTTAAGTGAAGGAATCTGATCAAGCAATAAGTGGAAGAAAGGGTTTTTAACACTGTTTATTGATTAGCCTTGTTAAAACTTCCCTTACATACCCCAACTAGATGTCTGCACCAAAAGCCAGTGTGAGAATCTAACCAGGTCGGTGTCGAAAAATGTAAATGCATATCCATCATAGATGTAAACGTTACTTTTCGTTATTGTTACTAGCAGTCTGTAGAAGTAGGTGCTCTAAGCCTCTGCCCCCATGGTTTGCCCCCTGTGATAAGGGCTAAAATGACTTGTAGAGTAATTGGAATTAGCTTTCTTTCTCCCTGTTGAGAGCGTTTGTATCACCAAACAGCTCCAGACATTTCAACACAAGACATACAGAAGGCACACCTAGCTGCTGTGACATTTATTATACATATGTATTAGTTCTACCACTGACCTGGCTGTGTGGGTGAGATAGCATTGATCATGTGTGTTGAGGGAGCAGCATGAGTAAGAGCCCACACACACAATAAATGTAATTAATCCATGTGTTTATGTTTAAGGATAGATGTTATCAAACTCTTGCTTGACAATCCTTGTTGTGCAGTTATTGAAAAAGCTTACGATGTATTCCCACCAGCCTCTGGACCGGAGCAGGGCTGAACGTGATTTGCATGTAGCCTGGGAAAACTTAGCTTAATCAGATTAGCGACCTGGCTAACAGAGACGGACATATGGGGCTAAGTGTAATTACACTTGCGCAAAGTGTAATTGGTGCCTTTGTTGATAAACAGAAAGTTACTATATTTATTATTCTGTAATCATTCAAAATGTTCTGCTTTCCTTTGGCATACACTGCAAGTAAAAATAATATAGTGGGGGTTTGATCTGAAGGTTGAATACCACAAGGACTGTCATGGTTTAACCTTGGGCTGTGGGAAATTAAAACAAGCATTTTAAAGAATAAACGATGCAATAAAAAAATCATGCCAAAAAGCTAATGTAGCAGATACAATTCTTTTGGATTTGTTTCTTTTTACTCTTGCTTTTTAAATGGAGGTAAACATCTACCAAACAGTATTAGAGGTGTGCATCCAGTCATCCTTTCACCAATCAGAGCACTACTCTCTTCACTACTACAACGTGTACAATGTCCTTTCACAGAACCATGTGGATAAAAGTGGGTTGTAAAAAGGTGCCAGGATGACGAAGGAGACAAGAGGCTGAGGAAATGCTCAGCACATGGGTTCAGAGCAGTAATGCAAGGCAGTGAGAGGCAGCTGGTGTGGATCAGTTAACCCGGCTGGAGGCTGAGAGGGAAGACAGAAGGCCAGACGAGGGGAGCGAAGGATGGATGGAGAGGTGTTGATAGAAGAAGAGAAGAGCCGCGGGGTCTCTGTGATGAACATGCTGCTGTGAGCATAACACAGGGTGATTCCTACAGCTCCTCACTGAGGTAACCAATGTGAAGTAGCACAGACAAAACCAAAACAATACAAATAGACAGCAAAAGCAACATTTTAGTATTTGCTATGGTTTAGTCCCTATACTGTATTTATTTCTGTAAGTTTTCCCTGATGTAAATACATAAACTACTCAATCTTTGCATGTGTGTAATGTAATGCCGAACATGTCACCTCCTGTATAATGTGGTGTCATGTTGTATCAGCTCAATGTGCAATCTTCAATTAAAGTAGAGGGAAGAAGGATTGTAATGTGGGCCCAACATCCTCCTCTTACAATTTAAATGAGTTCAGAAACACCAGAGGCTAGATGAAACCAAATTTAGCTTCCTGTATAGGAGAAACAAAGCTCGCCCACATAGACAATATCAATAATTCATCAGGTGATCCGACCTATCCGAGAGAGCGGTTACTCCTTGGTGTTTTGGGCCCTCTCAGACGTACAGAAATCTGACGGTCGCTGCTGGATTCACGACAAACATTGTAGATAATACCTCTCTCTCAACATCATTCACATGTATAATTAAACCCTCTGAGCCCTTACATCTTTGGCCATCCTTTTTTGTTAGAGAACATTCCCTTAACAGGAGGAAATGACACTTTTATTTCAATATAATTGAACAAGTGCTTGGAGGGTAGAAATAGAGAGGAAGGGCTGCGTATAATGCTGCTGGCTTTTGAAGACATATGTAATTAAAAAGTTCTTGATATTAAATCAACCTTATTTGTCTTGATAGTATGAATAATCACAAACACAATAGTGGACAACAAGCACAGGTCTCAGATATAATACTTGGATTTATAAATAAATACAAAATGTTAGGTCTTTTAGTAGTGACTCTTTTAAAAACCCAAGGTGATTCGAATTGTCTTGTTTTGTCCAATTCATATTTAAAAAACACTAATATTAGATTCGATATATTGCCCGTGCAGCAATGGTGTGTGAATGTTAGTTCCCGAGACCAAATGGCACTGCTCTGGATGAATGAGGTGTGAAATGAATGGGTGAATGACTCGTAGTATGTAAAAGCCAATGAGGGGTCGTAAAGACCCGATAAAGCGCTATATAAGTACAGTCCATTTACCATCTGTATACTGTTCCTGAAACAATCAAACTATTTCAGTTTTGGCTAGAAAAAAATTAAATAGTTGGCATTGCATTTTCTTTCAGTTGACTGGTATCAGCATTAAGAGCATAAATATACCAGCAAACAACACTAACCGTTTTTAAAATCTCGCCTGTAGGCTATGTCCATCAGTTTAGCAAAGTTAAAGATAAAAACCAAAATGGGATCTTAGAATATTATTCAGAAACCCTGCCAGGGGCCAAGCTATTTGGGAGGGACTAAGAGAACAACTCATCTAAGTGCTAATTGTTTATCTTCCCTACACTGTTGCTGTGTATAAATAATAATAATAATAATAGGAGGGAAGCCATGTGCAAAACAATGCTCCTGTTTGCTTTGGTTAGGCAGGTTTAGGTTTTCGTATTAGAATCTTTTCCGATCTCGACACATTAGCTTTGGCGTGAGTCCACAGACGGAGCAGAATAGAGCGCCTTCTGGCAACGTGAATTATTTAGATCTCATTTGTTTGTAGGCTTTTCAAGATGGGGTGAAGTGACACTAAATCCCTGAGCACTGCGGCGTGCAGAGGGGTTAGGATGACCAAGAGAGCACAACTAAAGATGATGGAGGTGAGAAATGGGAAAAGGAAAAAGGATGAAGCCACATTTTATTTTGCCGTTTGTGATGATCAGTAGAATGGATGGAGGATGAGGATTGGGATTTCCATGTTGACCTGGACTACAGCAAGGCTGGCATAAATGAGGATATTGCGAAATAATAATGCTACCAAGGCGCTGTCTGATATTCTGAATGTATTCATTTAATTTATTTATATTTAAGAATTTTATGAATCTAGAATTAATATCTTATTGGACAGATGGTTTGTTATAACAACCACTTGATGAATATTTATTGACATTACCTAGACTTAACTTACAGAATTTATTGTAGGAAAATTAGCAGAAAATGATTGATAGTGAAAATAATTGTTGGATGAAGACCCGCTGTGTATACCATATTTTCCACACAGACATGCAGCAATGTGCAGTCCTCATCTGTCCCAGAGCATGGACGAGTATGTTCTGACTGAAGCTTACTGAATCCCAGATGGAAAAGAGAGGCTTGACACACATGTTAAATCACTTTTCTCTCCTTGAGGTGAAACATATATGGTCAAGACACACAGTACTGCAGAAGCTGCTCCATCCAGACTGAATACTTTACAGTGCCCCACATGGTTCAGACATCCTGTTTGTGAGCTAATGAGTTCACTTCTATCTTCAGTCTGTCATCCCCCGTCCATCAACATCACTCTAAATCTTCTGGGTCACTGGTGGCCTCAGCATCACAAAGACTGACATCAAGCTGGAGCCCTCCCCCTCGCCGACCTCAACAAACAGCAATCAGAACACACACATACACACACCTCTCTAGGACAGCCATATATCTAAATGGACTGTCATCTCTGACAGCCTAAGTATCTCAATACATTATTTACCTTGCAATGGCTCTTTGCCTGCCAGTACTGGGTCAATGACATCACATTACTGTTTGTTATGCTCAAATCCATTACTTCCCAAAAACAGAAGCCACACAAAAATAAATACTGGTTCATGCAATATTGGAAACTTTATACAAAACCTTCTCAAAAGAGAAACCACACTGCAGTTTAGGTCTGAGGTCGGGTTGCACCACACAGGGAATGCCAGTCAGACTGAAAACCATTCATCATGAAGGGGTCAGAGTAATAAATACAGGATGTGGACGACACCCTACCGTAAGGGACCTTGTACTGATAACATGGTTTCAGATCACCCAATGCCCGGACCAAGGCTGGAGTCACTGAGGATTGTCTTGCGTACACCGGTAAAAGTGCAGCAGCTAACTGGCACACACAACGTTTTCTTTACACCACTCCCTAACTAAACAACATGCATTCTTATTTTCTCTTGCTCGATTACATTAACCTTTATGCTTTAGAATCAATAGCATGTTATTCAACACCTCTCTTTGCTCCAACTAAAGGTTAATGCAAAATAAATTGGATCGGTGAGAATACAATTATTTGAATTGCTAAAACTGCCATTTGTGATCAAATGTAATGAATTGATTTCTTATGCGCAGAAAAACACAAGTGGGGGGGGGATATCTTTAATCCTGGAATTGGAAATGCTTTCGACAAATCCATTTAGCCTAAGGTTTAAAAATATGCCTCAGTTTCGATCACTTCTCAATATTTTTTTCTTCAGTCAAACAACCTTGTTACAAGGGTACTTGAAACCCATTCAGCCAAAGGCCAAACACTCTCCTTCAAAGAGCTATTTCATACAAATAAATGTCTGCTGCACAGACACAGGCAGTTTCCAGTGGAAGCAGTCTATATGGTAAACTGCAGAAAACTTCTGTTGAATGCTTGTTGATCAGCACAGTCTCCTAGGACACATTCTCTTGTCCTTAAGTTATATATGTTTATTTTATATGACATATACATTTTCAAAAGGTTGTACTGGTCCTTTAAGTAGGGCTGTTTTGTGCTCATGTTTGTACTCCTATTGACCTTACTAGACTGCAAAAGGTGAAGGGTGTTAGTTAAGGATTGCTGCAGGCACAGCAGTGTGTGCAGTGAGTAAAAACACACCTCATTACCAAAGTGACAGGACCTTTGCTTTCCACAGCTGTGGAGCCCCTCCCTCTCAGGTCTGAGAAAACCACTGGTAGAGGTTCTGACCTACAGTAGTGACATGGAGCTGTTTTTATATGATTGGGTTACTAGTTTGTTCATTTTGTGCATGTGCGCAGAGACACAGATAACAGGGTGCACAGTACAGCCCATAGTTGTTACACTATTCTACTGACAATCAAGAGAAAGGTAGCGTTGCTCCAACAAAGGCAGGAAAGAAGACATTTAGAAAACAGTACCGATTTAAAAAATCAACTTTACAAATGTTTCATGAGTTTGACCTCAAGGACACACAAATGTGTTTAAGCAAATAACACAAGACAACTATTTTCTTCATTTTTTTCTTGATTGAAAGTCTTATCTTATTGATGCATTTAATTCTGCCGTGTCTCCGTATCACCTTGCAAATCAAACTTAACTTTGTTTTGAACTGCTTCACTAATGAGGATTAGTATTTCATTAACATAACAGGCGCGAGATAATGAAATCCAGCTTCTGCGGCTGCTAGGAACTGACATTTATATTCATTGTGAGAAGGGAAATCCTGCTCCACAAAAAAAAATGAGAATCATTTCCAAATCCCATTCTCTTCACCACCTGCAGCTTAAACACAGCAGGACTTGAAGGAAAATGGCCATCTCCGGCTGTGTTGTAAAACTGATAAAAAAAGACAGTAAGGATAATCCGTGCAGTGTGCCTGCTGCCCCAAGGCACCACTTATTATGGATTGTTAGAAGACACATAAAGAGCAAAGTGCATCCTCTCCAACTTTTGAGAGAACAACAATAATGTTTGATCAACAAAGTCAACATTTTACCCAAAAAAAGTCAGAAAAACGATAAAAATTTCCTAAAAAGTGGTTATGATTTCCAATGGAATACATTTTCTCTTAAGCCGTTTCATACTCAACTAAATAAAAATATCGAGTTAGTCACACTGAGTCTGAAGTTAGTGGACTCTATTTTTGAGGCTGGGTGAACAGAATATCAATTCAACTTCAAACGTTCCGTGTAAGTGTTGACAGGAGGTGAGGGCCTCTCGTCTTAATTATGCATCAGGGTTGCTTGTTGCTTGGTCTTGGAGTGGTGTTTTAAAGATCATCAGTAAATAATCTATCAGCACTGTGGCATTAGGTATGGAATGACGTGGATTTCTCATGAGCCACATCAAACAGGCAACTGCTTAGGGAAGACAGCTTTTAGATGTGCAGCTCCTCTGTCTTGGAATAGTCTGCAATTGAAATGGAAACTGAGCAATCTGGTGCCACTAAATGTTTTTAAAGCTCGGTTGGATGCTACTCAATCAGAAGCTGTTGGTACCTGTTCATGTGGATAGTTATGTGGATAGTTATTGTAAATTGTAATCCCTGTAATGATGCTGTATGATGTCCTTTTTGTTGTTCTGTTTATGTTTCATGTGGAACCTACTTGAGCAGGTCTCCCTTGAAAAAGAGATCAATGATCTCAATGGATACACCTGGATAAATAAAGGTTTGAAATGAAATGAAATTAGTTTGCCAGTTGCATTGTTAACCTCCTAACTAATTATTTAAACAAAAGACAGTTGGCTATTGGTTAAGTGTTTGAGTTGCTATGGATTCTCGCTGCATGCTGCACACATGCACGATGGATTATCAAGTGTAGTGTTAATTGTAATGAGGAAAATCTATCCATTAGGTTACCTTTAACGAGACTCAATCAGCATGAATGCTAATGAGTCGGAGCTCCATCAGAAAGCTGAAGTTAACTAGAAACCTGCTCTGTGCTCAGAGTGGAATTTCCCAAAAGTATTAAGTGGCGGCCATGACGTTCAAATGTTCTTTATACTGAGGAAAGGTGATTTAATACTGACTTTCTGAAGGCTTTTAGCATAGAGTACACTGGATTATCTTTTACCAATAGAAAGGAGATAATGCTTTCCCACAATTCCTTCTGGCAGCTACATTTAAAACACACCATCCAGCCATTAATTAAATCCGCCTTCACTGTTTACTTTGCAAACATTTAAAAAAAAAAAAATTCTTTCTGAAGAGGTGTGATTCTTTTTTGGACAGCAACCTTCATTTGACTTGAACACCATTGAGTTAGTCAATGTAGCCATACTTATTTGTTTGCTAAGTGTTAAAAATAAAATAAACTGTCTGTATTTGCAGTTGGATTCTCTTTGCATCTCTTTGTCTTTTCTCAAGTCCTTTTGAATTCGCTTTCACATCTTTCTTTGACTGGACTTTTCCTATCGAGATTAAGGAAAAGTAGTTACTAAAGGAAATCATTATTTTTGAATATTCGACCACAGCCCCATTCTACTGTATATAATTATGGTAGGAAAGTAAAAGGAACAAGATTTTTCCAGATGGATTTCTCACAAAAAAAGCTTTTTCTTGGCCATTTGTTAGTGTTACTGAGTTTTCAACCAGCACGTGTATGACAGAGACCTCAGCTGAATGGCAGATTACACATTACTGTGCACCCTCAATCTGAACCCAACACAGTGTAGTCCCTCTAAAAAGTTGGTTTCCACAGCTGAACATTTGACAATTCAGAAGCATTTGCACTGCAAAAACACTTTCCCCCTGTTCTCCCACTGTGCTCTAAACCCTCTAACAAACAACAGGAAACATTGATTTGTTTCAGAATTACAACTTAAGAGATAAAGCAATGTTTCCAAATACATTTTCTGGGATACTCTCTGCATGAGCAGCTTTTCTTATTTATAAGGTTGTAAGCAGTGTTGCTAGAGTATATTAGTGAACTGCTTATGTTGTGTACTATACCGATGCTCGGCCCCTCAGGTTCCTTGAACACGGTAGAAATACACTGAACAAATATATAAATGCAACACTTTTGTTTTTGCTCCCATTTTTCATGAGATGAACTCAAAGATCTAAAACATTTTCTATATACACAAAATAACCATTTCTCTCAAATATTGTTCACAAATCTGAAAAAATCTGTGAAAGTGAGCACTTCTCCTTTGCCGAGATAATCCATCCCACCTCACAGGTGTGGCATATCAAGATGCTGATTAGACAGCATGATTATTGCACAGGTGTGCCTTAGGCTGGCCACAATAAAAGGCCACTCTGAAACGTGCAGTTTTGCTTTATTGGAGGGGTCTGGGGGGGTCCGAAAACCCTAGGGTTAAACCCTAACCCTAACATGTCACCCATTGAGCATGTTTGGGATGCTCTGGATCGGCGTATACGACAGCGTGTTCCAGTTCAGCCATTGAAGAGGAGTGGACCAACATTCCACAGGCCACAATCAACAACCTGATCAACTCTATGCGAAGGAGATGGGTGACATGTTAGGGTTAGGGTTTAACCCTAGGGTTTTTGGACCCCCCCAGACACCCCCAATAAAGCAAAACTGCATGTTTCAGAGTGGCCTTTTATTGTGGCCAGCCTAAGGCACACCTGTGCAATAATCATGCTGTCTAATCAGCATCTTGATATGCCACACCTGTGAGGTGGGATGGATTATCTCGGCAAAGGAGAAGTGCTCACTATTTCAGATTTGTGAACAATATTTGAGAGAAGTGGTTGTTTTGTGTATGTAGAAAATGTTTTAGATCTTTGAGTTCATCTCATGAAAAATGGGAGCAAAAACAAAAGTGTTGCGTTTATATTTTTGTTCAGTGTATGTACCTGGTACAGACCTAAAACATGAGGAGACTGTGCGGTTAGAGTCCTGGGTCCTAGTCTTGGTTGACCAATATTGTGAAGCCGGTTCTACACATTGCACTGATGTGTCATTTAGCTTTGACTCCTTCAGCTGAAAGCAATACCCACTCATTTTGGACCATATCTCTACTAATAACAGTATGCATTTGAAAGAGTGATTGTGGAGAAAGCAGGATGATAACAAAGAAACCATTTTAAGGTTTGGTAAAGCATCGCAATACAGCAGCATTTTAAAGTGTATAAACAATATAAATAGCACCCTGACATTATCAGGAAGTCATTTCATCATTCTGCATTCTTTAATGTTATAAGCAGAAAGGTCTCCTAGTCACTACGCCGGATATAAATAACTTGTTGGAGAATGAGGAAGAAGGGGAATGCTTTCATCTTAAGGCTTTCTGATTGGCTTTCATCAGTGAACACTAAAACAACTATATACTATTGTGAAAATGTGTTCTGATCTTTGAATAATGAATAAGTATGACAATAAGACAAAGGCAAAGAAGGAACCTTGTTGTACTAGACAGTGTGATTGTGCATAATAGTACAAATATTGTGACAAGTGGGAACTCATTGCTCATATTGAAATTGAATACAACACAGAACAAAAACGTCACAGTTTGCGTTAATGAAGCAGAATTGATATGGGGTCTGGATCATTGTGAAAACAGGGCAGTGTTGGTAACATCAACTGAAAGGAGGTTGTGTTTTTAACACATCTGAGGAAATGAAAGAAGCAGATTGGACATTTCCTATTTGTTTGACAATCCTCCGTTACACATTATCCAATTATATTTTGACAAGGTCAGTGAATTTAATGAAATTAAACTTTATCAGGATGAACTCTTGCATGTGAAGATGTGAAGAAAGGATGAATTGTTGATTAGGACCGTGTTAATCTAGAGTATTAATCCAGTCCAATTAGCAACGCCAAAAAAAAAAAAAATCAGAGAGCATGCAACAACCCCTCTTCGTCTTAAGGAGCCTCTTTTCTATTACTTACAAAGCAATTAATTAGTTTCTTCTTTAATTCTTTAATTAGAAAGTCTTTTAATTTGAAGCATTACCAGCAGCTAACTCAAATGACTATTTAATTATGTAGCAAGCTTCCGAACAGACAAAAACACACATGTGCACAGACAAACTTCTCTCAGTGCATCCCTGTTTTTGGTCAGTGAGAAAAAGCTAAAGGTGTGTTTGCGCTTGTGATTGGCAGGTCGTGTTGGCACGGTAACAGACAGTCAGGCGCACAATCTCAGAGGAGCAGTTTCCGGCTGCAGCTGCCTGACCTCCAAACAGGCCAGACAACCAGAGCCGGAGGACATGGCAAGCTAATCAAAAACAACAAAGACTGAGCTAAGCGACTTTTTCTCATAACGCCACCAAAATGACAGGATTATGCAACATTTCCCATCGCAGTTTTTTGATTTTGGTGGCAGGAAAGGAAGAGTGAAAATCTAGCTGTCGTATCAAAGTTTTTTGAATGTCGACAGTTAAGGCCACTTGCATATAAATTTGACGGATAAAACGGTGAGGATTTGAGACCATGGAGTAGCAGTGGTGCAACACTTGAGAGGCAGCTGTCAGTACCTGGAGGCAGGTTGGCTCTCTTCCTCTTCTTGCTATTCTCAGCAGTGTTTTCCAGAGGAGGACACTCCGTCACCAGCGGCCCACTGGAGCCGCTGAACTGGAGAGGGTCGTTGTTGGCTGATGGATCAAAGGACAGAGCGTTGAGTCCTGGAAGTCACAGAAAGCATAGAGAGCCACATTAAAGTCAATGAAGCCATGGCTCCTGACCAAAGGGGACACACTGTGAAACACGAAGAAAGAGAAAGCAACATGAGGCTGCAGCGCTTCTGTGATGCTTTTTATGTCCAACCCTGATGAGATTTATTCAGACACACATTGATGAATAACACTAAAAGTGTCTCTAAGGTCGGTTGCATTCGTGGAGGCATAAATGCAATGGTCAGGATTCAGTACAACCACATACAATGGATAGCAATAGGATTTTGTTCGAATTCTTTAACTGACATTTTTATATTAGATTCTAGAGAACATCATTTTGCAGTGATCATTTGCAAAACATTTTTTTTAAATCCATCAGTAAGGAGCCATACTTGGATGGAAACTGTCAATTAATTATAAATGAATTACTCAATCGGCTAAAAAAGATAGAGATCAAATGGATGATGAATTTAAGATGTTAGTAAAAGCCTGATGCAGTTAGATTGATGGTTTTTGCATATAACATGTTAAAGAAAGTGCTACAAATCCCTTCATCTTAAATGATAGTTGAATCAAACTATTAGAGTGTTGGACTATTAAGATGTTACTTGGGCTTTCCGAAATGACAGTTTGCATTTTTCACTATGGTCTCAGCTATAAAAAAAGAATGTGTTGCACTTTTTATACTGCAACACATATAAATAATGATTTTATTTTTTGTACGATCACCATTCTGTACAGATCCAGGGTAAAGAAGAAGTACTGGTAAACAAGATGGCTGCCCTCTGATTAATATGTTGGGCTTGTGCAGATACAAATGCACTTTCATTTCCCCAAATCAAGGTTAAATTAAAAAAAGCCAAAACCTAGAATAAGGATTTAGTAAATATAAAACATGTGGTGAAAACACATGAAAATGTTTATGAGAAAGACTGCTGGAAACAATCGAGCGCTCTGTACCATATCAGCTCCAACAAAACAGCATTTCATCCTGATTTTATCATGGATGTTAAGGTAATTCCATGTAAAGAGAAATTCAGACAAAGAAGCGCTGTATAATGAAGGCAATTTATCAGGTGTTTCCCTGGAGGCAAGGTTGTATTTAGGATTTTGATGTTGCTCACTGATATCTTACAATAACAGAATCAACAGTCGTATCATGAATACAAGACAATCAGAACACTTCCATAAGTAATGAAAACAAAAACAATGTTAAGATTGCTCCCGAGTCCTTCATAAATGATAAACAACTTAACGTGTGTTTGCTGCTTAATGTATTAGCTATTCTCACTCTTTAAAGAGTTGTGTTTGTGCTTATAATTCAGAGCAGGGTCCTGGGGAGACTCGGTACACTCATGAAAAATTCATGACACTTCTTTGTGTGAAGATTTGTTTTTCCCTCTATTGCACAACAGATCAGAAGTCTCACATTAATGTGGCTCAATCAGAGGTCCACAAGACCCTGATCAGTTTGTTCCAATCTCAGAGAGTGCTCTAAATGTCAAGACAAAATAACGAAAGATTTTAACTGTTAGGTCAGTGGTGTCTTTGTTCAACACGGTCTACTTTATGGAAATAGGACTCTTATTATGTTGAGGCACTGACAATTTGGAAGACTAGCCTCATCAGGTTGTGTTTTTTGTATTTGTTCTTGTTTAAGACCAGACCTGCTGAGATGATGCTATTCTTATTTTGTATTGGTTAATAGCAAAGATTGATCATTATCAGTTAGGGTTAGAAAATAAAGAGAAACAGAAACAATGGGTAAAAAAGTTCCAAAGGAAACAAAGCGTGGCTTTAAAAAAGCCGAGTATGACAGCATAACAGATCTGTAACAGAAAGTTAAAAGAATACTAAAAGAATACTTATGTTGGCAAAACCCCACATTTTCTGTCTGCATGAGACACTGTTACATTTAGGCAGAGGGCTCTGTGTGTTTGCTGCAGTCAGTCTAAATAGATCTTCCGTCTGAGCTCACACAGTCCTTCAGTCGATCTCTACTCAGCATCCATCTGTCACACTTGAGCGGCAATAGCGCAGAGAGTGAAATAAATCCATTATTCTGCCAATGTTAACTCTGTCACCAATAAACAGCAACAGCTTACATTTAAAGAGACGGCCTTTTCAGACGATGGCATGAGAGTTGCCATGAAGCAAGGCCAAGAGAATCCATGGAAAGAGTGAAACAGAACCACACAGCTGACATGGAAATACCAGTGACTTGCCTTGTCATTAACTTCATTTAGCTCAGAGAGCTGGGTTGGCCCCAAACTATCACAGCTCTGTCTCATAAATTGACTTGTAAGAAAACTGGACTTTCTAATGTGGAATAAATGGAAACTAATGCAGAGGATGAAAGAGGGAGGAGGACATGATGCAGTCAGAGCTACATTTCTGAATGCATGCAGTAGATTTTATGGGCATTTCAGTACCCTATTATCACATTGCTCTTGAGTGCATTACTAAAGTATAAAAGATTTGACGACAAATTGAAGAAAAGCCTTTTACAGATTCTGCCATAATGCATCATATGTTGGCTGTTCATTGATGTTTGGAAAAAGTAGTCCGTGTTCTGAACCAATCATTTGACAGTAAAGGCAAACAGCAAAAACATACATTGATTTTAAAAACTAAGATGGGAACACAGCTTAGAGCCCGAGTTTCTTTATGTGTGAGTCTGTATATTAAGAACATCTTTGCTGGGTCATCGCCCCTCTCTGCTGTGCTACTCCTTTGTCTGTAGGATGATGGATGGCGTGTTTAAGTTTCAACATCTGGCCGGAGGGAGGAGCAATGTCAGGAGTATGTCTCCCCAGGGTGGAAGGAAAATAAATACCAGGAGGCTGGGTGGAGGCAGGTGGAGGCTTCAGGCAGAAAGGGTCGCAGAGAAAATAAAAGTAATGAAAAAGCTGGAATGAGACAAACTTTATGCTCTGTGGATTCAGGATGGGATGCAAGAAATATCACAAATGAAAGTGACCCGATCTCACATCAAGGACACATTAACAACCTGCCCCATTAATGGTATAGTGGGCGAGGAAAATATATGACCATTAGAATATGCAATGAAACTCAGGGGGTCATTAAAACACCATTTTACTGCCTAGGATGTGAAATCAACTCAGGCATCTGCAGCGTGTGAAATGTGGAGAAATGTTTGCCGAGTGTGATGTCCTCATATTATATTCAAAGACAGTACACATTTTGATTTAAAATAGACCCTGACAAACATTTAAAAATAAGTATTTGTTGTGAATATAAGACATAAGTATTATTCAATTGTTTTGATTGAACAGAATAACGAAATAACAACTATTATATCCAAATGAAATCCATCATTGGTTGCAGCCCCAATATCATATGTCGCTTGTACTGTGTACTAGGAAGATTCCTTTGCAATTGAAGTGACCAAAAACCAATACAAACGTACTTTTGGTTGGTGGAGTCTACTAAAAAGGGTACTAGACAAATCACATGGTACTGCAGTTAAGTTAAATAATATGCAAGCATCAGCCTAGGAAAATATACACCAATTACAGGGCGAGGAGGTAATCAAGTTTGCTGAAACCATCATGAAATGTAAGACCATAACGCTTTTATAATACATTTTTCCCGTAATTACTTCACACTGGCAGCAAACCTGTGTTCTAGATGTACAGATCACAGCTTTAACGGCACTGCGCTTTGCAGGAGTCATTCTCTATGCAAAACGTTTGTATAATTCCCTTACAGTCCTCAATCGAACTCTCATCAGCTAATAAACCCAACAGTGGGGTATGAATAATGCAGAGCATTAGGAAATGTGCATCAGCGCAACACTGCAGGTAAGTGCTTAAGTGGGGTGACGGCCTAAGCAGGGGACTATTAATCTAAGACAGTACTAAGAAAGATAATGTAAAAATGCCATGTAGCACAAGGCAAAGAGCAGGATGGTGGCACACAACATTGACATAACACTGGCCTCAAAAGTACATTTGCTTTGCTGATAATTCCACCTAATACTAAACTATAAGGGTCAAAAAACCCATTAGGACAACATCTAAAGAGGGAGTACTGACTCAATGTTTAAATGTTATAAGCAAAGCCTCACAGAGAAGCAGTATTGTGCACAGGAATGTTCTCCAAGCTATGCACGTTCCCCACTGTCTTGAAAACTGGCTGCTTTGAAAATCAATAATATATAATCACAGCCTTGTGTCAATCAGCAAACAGCAGGCAGTGTACGAAAAGCAATTAAAGAATATTGAATTGTTCTACTTCACATGGTCAAACGAGGCAACACACACATATACACAATAAAGACACACAGGAAATGCCTTCGTAAATAAAGCTGCAGTTTTACGAGGTCATTAGCTCACAGTTGGTTCCACTCGACTGAATAATGATATAAAAAGAAAACATTTTATTGTGATAGATTTAGCACAGCAGAAAGAACTGGGAAGTGTTCTTTTCCCATGAAGCTAGTGGTTCCTAGTTCTTATTCTTTGATAATGTTCCATATAATACAGCTTCTTCCTTTCTAAACTTTAGATTAACAGACATGTACAGAGAACTGACCAACAGCCTTTTGTCAGTTCATTTACTGGGAAATAAAATACATTTAAACTGATTGGTAAAATGGTAGCATTCTTTGTGAGACTATAATCAAATAAAACATTCAGAGGTTTGTGATGTAATCCGTAATTGGTGGTGTGTGCGGTGCTCTTACTAACCAAATAGTCAATAAAAATGGCGCAGCTCAACTAATGGCCACCCCGATTTCTCAAAGTCCAAAATTACTTCTCTAAATTGCTTGTTTTGTCCAACCAAATGCCCGAAAATTCTTCTTAAAATAACATAAAAAAGGCAAAAAAAAGGAATCTGAAAAGCACGGCTTTTACTGATCCACAAATAATGATGTATGTGACATGTGGCTGGGGTGGAAATGGCATCAAAGTATTTTGTAAATGGATTATGAAGTAATTAAGATAGGTCACATTGTCCATCACCAGTACATTTGTCTAGCAGGT